AGGCGAGAGGCAGCATCTTCTTTCAAAACCATGGCTGTGCCTTACTCCAAAGGCCATCACCAAGCACAAATCCTGGTGGCAATCTCCAAACCTTGGTGCCCCGGAACCCAATTGAGCTGTTTTCCTGCCCGTAAACAAGGCAGGACCTAGCTCAGTCCCGGAACCGCCTGGATAGAAACTGCCCGAAGCAGGGAGGCTGTCCTTTCCAAAGGCCTTGGCTTTGCAGCCAGACTTGCTAAGTCAACAAAGTGGGAGCCAGCCCTGCCTCCTGCCTTCCTGTTACACCCTCCGACTTCGCTTCCCTCCAACCAGTGGTTCTTCTCCTTGGCCTGCCACGCTCGCACACACATGCATGTGCACACGTGTGCACGTGCACGCACACACTCAGAGTCCTGCAGATCCATCCCTCTCAGCTGTCTGGGTGGGGAACCTGCTCTGGGAGAACTGGGAGGCAGAATCCAGACGGGCTGCAGCCAGGGTTATTTTTTCTCTTTCTCCATATTCCAATCATCCTGTGAAAAGTTGGGCCCAAGAATGCAAACTCCGGAAAACCAAGGGCAGTGCAGCACCAAGGTATTTACTTAGCCAATTGAGTTTGCTTCCGTCTCCCAGGGAGGCAGTCTCAGATTTCCTCAGGGCAGCAGGGCTTTGCTGAGTCCAGCCAGTTGCTTCTCTACACAGCAGACAGTGGTCTCTGCAGCCTCTGCGGTCAACTTCTGAGAACGGGAAGACAGACTCTCAGGGCTCATGCTCTATCTGCTCTCAGCATCCCCAGATCTCTCTCTCCTCTATCATCTCTCACAACCCAAGAGGCCTTTTCTTTTCTGCCTGGGAAAAATTCTTTTCCTCCAAATTTCCCCAAGAAGCACACTCTGTTGGCCCAAAACCCCCTTGCCTCCTTATCAAAAAAGTAAATACTGTAAATCCATTTTGGAAAAACAAAAAATCCAGAATGATTTTTTTTTTTTTTTTCTTTTTGAGACAGATTCTCATTCTGTTGCCCAGGCTAGAGTGCCATGATATCAGCCTAGCTCACAGCAACCTCAAACTCCTGGGCTCAAGCAATCCTCCTGCCTCAGCCTCCTGGGTAGCTGGGACTACAGGCATGCGCCACCATGCCCAGCTAATTAATTTGTTTCTATTTTTAGTAGAGACGGGGTCTCGCTCTTGCTCAGGCTGAGCAAGGCAGCGGCTCAGGCGGCCACATGCATCCCCCTAAGAGTTTTAGCCTGCACTGCCCCTGCCCCCACCCCAAATCATCACCTCATGTGAGCACTTCCTAATTCCCGCATCCCAAAATACCCTTTGGGGCCTCTCTTTATAAAACATGGCCACTCCTTCTTTCTTAAAACTCTCTCATTAGGTTGGGCTTGAGTGGCACCCCCACTCACCTGATCTTCCTCCTCCTCTGCTCCCACACCCTGCCCTTGTGCCCAGATCCTTCCACCCAGCCTCTCACCACCGATGCCCCCAAAGGTTCTGTTCTCGGCCCTCTTCTCTATGTGCCCTGGGTGAACTGTCTCAACCTCTCTCAAGGCTGTAACACCTCAAAAATCCCCCATTCTGCACCTCTAGCATCTTTCTCTCTCTGATTCCAGACACATGCATGCAATGCCTGTTTACTGTTTAGCCTAGAAAACAAAAAATCCAGAGAGAGGATAAGATTGCTAATTTTCAATATTTGAAAGACTGCCAGGACCACAGAGCAGACCACGAGTAAATGGGTAGATTTGAGCTCAATCAATACAAGGAGGAATTTTCTAACAAAAAGCACTAGCCAGCAAGGAACGGGCTTCTTCTGAGGTACTGAGCTTCCTGGGACTGGAAGCAGGCAGAGAGAAGTCCTACAGATAGCGCAAGGCCGAACTAAGCAACATCTATGTTTTCCCCAATCTCAGATTGACTCAGCAGTCAGTGATTCAGATAAATAGAAGTTTTTGGGTTTTTTTTCATTTCGTTGAATACCTAAAATTACAATGCTTCATGTAGGATACTGTGTAAAAATTGATGTGGCATTTCCTTTTTATTCTGTTATTTTTTAAATAATCATGATTTGTTGTTTATCAAATAAATAATCTGCATTATAAACTCCTTTGTTTTGTCATAAATACACCCAAGGTTTTTTTGATTTTTGTTTTTTTGAGACAGTGTCTCACTTTATTGCCCAGGCTAGAGTGAGTGCCGTGGCATCAGCCTAGCTCACAGCAACCTCAATCTCCTGGGCTCAAGCGATCCTGCTGCCTCAGCCTCCCAAGTAGCTGGGACTACAGGCATGCGCCACCATGCCCGGCTAATTTTTTCTATATATATTTTTAGTTGGTCAATTAATTTCTTTCTATTTTTAATAGATACAGGGTCACATTCAGGCTGGTTTTGAACTCGTGACCTTGAACAATCCACCTGCCTCAGCCTCCCAGAGTGCTAGGATTACAGGTGTGAGCCACCTCGCCCGACCTTACACCCAAGTTTTTAAAGAACAAAATTTACCTGGTCAGTGATTGAAGGCTTTCAGATTAACACATTGACTGCCACACTAGAAAAAAAATTTTTTTTCCCTGGGGCCACAGTGTTTTATTAAAACAAAATGATCCGGCCAGGCGTGGTGGCTCACGCCTATAATGCTAGCACTCTGAGAGGCCGAGGCAGACAGATTGCTCAAGGTCAGGAGTTTGAAACCAGCCTGAGCAAGAGCAAGACGCCGTCTCTACTATAAATAGAAAGAAATTAATTGGCCAACTAATATATATAGAAAAAATCAGCCGAGCATGGTGGCAAATGCCTGTAGTCCCAGCTACTTGGGAGGCTGAGGCAGCAGGATCACTTAAGCCCAGGAGTTTGAGGTTCCTGTGAGCTAGGCTGACGCCATGGCACTCACTCTAGCCTGGGCAACAAAGTGAGACTCTGTCTCAAAAAACAAATGATCCTTTCTAATTTGTTTTTTTTTTTTTTACTGTTTTCTATGTGTGTGTTATATGTCATGCAATCCACGTTTTTAGAATTAGTTTATTGGGCCAGGCTCAGTGACTCTCACCTATAATCCTAGCACTCTGGGAGGTTGAGGCTAGAGAATGACTTGAAGTCAGGATATTTAAGAGCAGCCCGAGCAAGAGCAAGACTCCATCTCTACAAAAAAAAAATAGAAAAATTAGCTGGGCATGGTGGCGTATCCCCGTAGTCCCAGCCACTCAGGAGGCTGAGGCAAGAGGATCACTTGAGGTTGCAGTGAGCTATGATGATACCACTGCACCCTAGCCTGAGTGACAGAATAAGAAAAAAAATTCTGATTTTTTTAAGAAATATTTTCTACCCCCCTTACTCCAGTAAACCCTATTTCCTTCCTACCCACTTTGCCAGGAATAACCAGGAGGAACTGCAAAGATTAACTTCTAAAATGCAAAAAAGAATCCTAGATTCACAATCCTTTTATGGATCACTAAGAGCATGAGCAACTTGTGAATTTCCTTTGCTCAGCTACTCACGCATATGCTTTTCATACTACTTCTCTTCCCTCCCTCCCACCCCGCACACGTGTAATCGCCCCACTTCCTGATTTCTGCCTTTACTCGTAGTTCCAGCTGCCGCATAACTCCAGCTGAAACATGGGCTGACATACCTGTCAACAACATAGCCCTTCCATTTCAGCCATTCTGCCGCCCTCCTCAGACCCCCGATATCTCTTGGCTCAGTTTCTCAAGTTTATCTTTTCATGCCAGACATACTCATCCTCTCCCAACCTTGGGAGGAGGAGGAAACAAAGAGGGGTGTGGTGACGTATCTACAACTTCCCTTTCAGCAAAGACAGTGGAAGGGGCATTTTTTTCTCCCTACAACAACCTTGGCCATGAGGCCCCTCATAGCCAAAGCCACTGCCTTCCTCTTAAGGGTCTGCCTTGTTCACACACCTTGCAGGGACTTTGAAAAACAGTTTGAATGGTTACATGCTCAATTCACTGCTATGGAGGGTGTCAAGATTTCAGATCTGAAAACTTCTGTTGATGCAGCTTCAATAAGGAAGGAGGGAGGTAAGAAATAATCCCTGAGCCTATCAAAGAGGCACAAGTGACTTACTCTGGTGGATCACAGACCTGCCAAGGTGTGGCCCCGGATCCCACTGCTAAGTTCTCACACATGCAGGGCCAGCAAAGACATCAGACCTCAGAGTCCTATGTGTATCTAGGTCCCAGTTTTGTCATTCACTGTGTGATCTTACAGAGGTCAAATCATTTTGAGTCTTGCATTCCTCACCTCTAAAATGAAGTGAATAAAAAAAAAAGTGACTTCTTATCAGTAATTATAAGGATTAAAAGATTAAATGGAATCGAGTTTCATGTCAATTAAGGGTTATGCAATTACTGGTTTAATTAATTTCCCAGTTAGTTTACCGGCCTATGGAAAGCCTTTGTTAACTAAGTGAATGTTCAATTTCCCACCAGCAGGAATAGGTATCAGCCACAAAGTCTCCAATCTCTCCTGGACTCCAATCCCTGGTCAATAGTGTCATATCTACAGAAACAAACTAAATTTTTTTCTCTTTCACAGAGTAGTTTTAAGCCTCTAAGTGTTTGAATCCTTAAATGTAATTCAGGGGCCGGGGGTGGTGGCTCACGCCTGTAATCCTAGCACTCTGGGAGGCTGAGGCGGGCAGATTGCTCAAGGTCAGGAGTTCGAAACCAGCCTGAACAAGAGTGAGACCCCATCTCCACTATAAATAGAAATTTAATTGGCCAACTAATATATAGAAAAAATTAGCCGGGCATGGTGGCGCATGTCTGTAGTCCCAGCTACTCGGGCGGCTGAGGCAGCAGGATCACTTGAGCCCAGGAGTTTGAGGTTGCTGTGAGCTAAGCTGACGCCACTGCACTCACTCTAGTCTGGGCAACAAAGTGAGACTCTGTCTCAAAAAATAAATAAATAATTTAAAAAATGTAATTCAGGGACTTTAAATGGAGGAAAGCCCTGCTCAGATGCATCTAATTAAAATGGAAAACAGCAAACCGATTGTTTTTTTCTACCTTTATTTATAAAGAACACAATTCCTCTTGACACAGACACAAACATTCACACATTCCAAGGAGGAACCCTTTAAAAACAACAACAGAACTGAGGAGAACAGGGGGACCTTACGTGACACCAGTCTGTGTACCCCAGACTCAGGGGTCACTGGGAACATTTTCTCAGATAGGACGTCTCCCCTCAAAGACAGGAAGAGGGACCCTGGCCTGGAGGGCCCACCCACCTACAAGGCAGAAAGCTCCACACTCAGTCTTCGGCATCATCGAACTGACCCGTTTCAAAGACCATCTTGGAATAATGCGGTATCAGTGGAGGTGGATGGTGCCAACTGGGGTCATAGATCATGTCTCCTTGTGGGGCACAGCACACCCACGGTTTGACCTCTTGAGAAATGCTCCCCTGGATGTCGTCAGCATCTGCGGGCAGTTTTAAAACACAGATTAAAGGAGGGAGGAAGGAAGGTAAAAACAGCCAACAAAATAATTCTAGGGGACATTTACACTTATTTTGTTTGAAAAGACACACGAATACGAGCATGCACACGGGCACACACACAAACACACACAGTCTTCCTTTCCTGAAAAATTACAAACATGTTCTTTCTGAACAACCCATAGCTGTGCTTCTCAGACAAGGATTCTTAGCAGTGGAAAGCAAGCAAACTGGTTAACAGCACTTCTATCTGCAGCTGCTCAATGCAAAGCAAAGATTTTTTTTAAGAGAATAACATCATTTCAATGTTAAAGTGACACATTATAGAGTCAAATTCAAAATTTGCATACATATTTTTTTTCAATATAAAAGTGAAGCTGTCACAGAAATTCAGACCTGTAACAGATATCAGGTTAGACTCCTAGAAGTGGACCCCCTTTTCCAAACTATCTGCCTTCAGAGGTAGCCTGGGAAGAGGGTCTGGGAAAGTCTGGCTTAAGGACCCCAGAAACTCCACACCTACCATATGGATTCCCTTGATCTGCTTTCAACTCCAAGTCCCAGTCCTCATTAAAAAGATCACCAGTCTGTTCCTTGGGTGGACACTGTGTCCCTTCTGACAGCTCCCAGGTATTCGGCTCCCCATCAGAACCCTCATCATCCACAGCAAAGCCTTCCTCTTCAGACTGGGTGCCCTCACCACGGGGAGGACTGTCATTAGGAATGCTCTGTGCTCCGCTGGCTAAGAAATCAACAAAAGGAAGATGGTCGTAAAACAACTGATAAACCAGAGAAGGCCCGCTTGTGTGCTAGGAAAATTTTTGGCAAACTTACTAAAAGAGCAGTAAAGCAAATATACAGGGAGCTCTTTAGCCACCTGAGCACTTTCTTAAAATGTTGTTCTGTTTATGTTCTTAGAAGGGGGATTGATCATTTCTTTTCAGTAAGATGTTTTGTCTTACACAAGGCTGTTCGTTAGTTCCCAGGTCCGGTAATTTACACAGAGAGCCAGGAACAGTTTACATTTTCAGGTGGTTTACATGTTGCCAAGGTAAAGGGTCCCTGGCAAATGATCAAATGATATGTTTTCACAATATAAGCTTGAATTCAATTTTTGCTTTTCTATTCCTTCCTTTAGCCTCAAAGAACATGTTAAAGGTGCACACAGGGCCAAAGAGAAGTGAGGGGAATGCAGACAGAAGAGCAAAGCCCGTCTATTCCCAACAGGCAGTCACCATGTTCCTCCTCCTCACCTCAGGGGAAGCTGGAAAGTACGTTTGCAAAAGGTCTTACAGTGATGGAAGAAAGCCTGGGAAAGATAATGGATCTGTAAGCACAGAGTGCTATGGTGGTGCCAGGTCAGAGGTAGGAGAGCAATCAGCCTAAAAAACAGCCATGCTCTTAACACTGTATCAACAACAACAGCTATAAGCAGTAAGTCCTAACTCAAGGCATGAGGTCTGCAAGCCAGACTACCTGGGTTCAAATCCCAGTTCCGCCAATTAATAAACATGTGACTGAACTGAAATTTACTTAACTACTTCCTCAATAACGTAAACATAGAATTACCATATAACCCAGCAATCCCACGCAAAAGAACTGAAAACAGGTGTTCAAACAAAACAAGGATGTTGCAGCAGCACTACTCAGTCACCAAAAGGGAGACACAACCCAATGTCCATCGATGGATGAATGGATAAACAAAAATGTAGCACTATCAATATGATGGAATCATTCAGCCATAAAGGGGATGAAGCACTGATATATGCTACAACATGGATGAACCTTGAAAATACTACGTTAAGTGAAAGAAACCAGACACAAAAGGCCACTTTATATGATTCCATTTACAGGCAATTCACATTTACCTATCCAGAATAGATAATTCCACAGAGACAGAAAGCAAATTAGTGGTCACCAGGGGCTCAGGGAAGAAGGGAATGGAGAGTGTTTACTTAATGGGTAAAGGATTTTCTTTTGGGGATGATGAAAATGTTCTGGAACTAAATAATGGTGATGGTTACATAATACTGTCATTGTGTCAAATGCTACTAAATTGTATGAATTAAAGTGATAAAATGGGCCCTGTGCCATGGCTCACACCTATCATCCCAGCACTTTGTGAAACCAAGGAGGGAGGATCACTTGAGGCCAGGAGTTCAAGACCAGCCTGGGCAACAGAGCAAGACCCTATCTCTAAAAAATAAAATAAAATGGTTAAATGGTAAATTTATATTACATATCTTTTACCAAAATTTAAAAAAAATTTTACTTAACTATTCTGTGCCTCAGTTTCCTCATCTGGAGAATGGAAATATGGTTGTCATGAGAGTTTATTTAAAAAAAAAAAAAAAAAGGAAACTGCACCTGGCAAAAAGTGAGTCCTCAATAACCAGCACCATCCAATAGAATTTTTGCAGTAAGGGAAATATTCTAGAATCTGTGCTATCCAACAGGGCAGTGCTAGCCACATGTGACCAGTGTCACTAAGGAACTGAATTTCTCATTTTATTTAATGATAATTAGATTTAAATGGCATCAGTGGCTATTGACAGTACCATTCTAGATCCTCTCATCCAAACCTCGGAACAACCCTACAAGGTAGGTATTAGCCACATTTTAAAGATGAAGAAAAGCTAGATGACTTAGCTAAGACCACAAAACTTGAGCCCAGGACTCTGACCCAGAGCTGAAACTGAAAAAACTTCGCCTGGCTCCAAAGCCTGTGCAGTACCCCCCACCCTTATATGCAGTTTCACTTCTTGTGCTTTTGGTTACTCATGGTACAATAAGATATTTTGAGAGAGAGACAACATTCACGTAACTTTTAGTACAGTATATTATTATAATTGTTCTATTTTTTATTAGGTGTTATTAACCTCTTACTGTGCTTAACTTATAAATTAAACTTTAACATATGTATGCATAGGAAAAAACAAAGTATATATAGATTTCGGTACTATCCATGGTTACAGGTATCCACTGGGGGTCTTGGAACATATCCCCTGGAGATACAGGGAAACTACTGTACTCTTTTCACTGTTCCAAGCTGTCTGTCTCAGTGGAAGGGATGGGTTTAGACATAAAGAAAGTCCAGGAATTCCCTTAAGGAAGCCCCAACAAGGCTTCCAAAGGAGGGCAGTGTGGACGCACTGGGCAGAGAAGGCAGCTAGCAGGAAAGAGGACTAGCTAGAAAGAGAAGGTAAATGAGATGTAGGGCCTGTCCCTCATCACTTGCTCAGCTTCTCCCAATATCCACCCCAGTCTCTGTCATCTACTTACCTAGTCTATCTGTGGCTTTCTCATTCTCTCTTTCATGACTGGAGTGGTCAGCTGTAGCAAAGCCAGCCTGCAGGAAGAAGCAGCAATTACCAGGGACTTGGGTATCTGGAGTATGCCCAGTATTAAGCTATTGCCTGTCAGCTCGATCTACCCTTCCATACCCATCTTGGGCTGGGACTCTGCAACCCACAGTTCTGCTTTGTCCTGTTAGACTGGGCAAGGCTGGAGGGAGAAGGGCCCTGCTCTTCCTATTCCTATAGGTATCACCCCAGCGACACTTCTTCCCCACTGCCATCCTATAGCAGCCATTGAATCCAGTTTACAGTTTTGCCAACACTTGCAGAGCCAGCCTCATCACTGGGCCCTCTCTTCAGAGGTCTGGGTCCCAAGAACTTTTCTCCAAGCTCAGAGACCTTTGCACCCCCGTGCAGTTGTGGCAACACCCCCTCCTCAAAGGCTGGAATTTCAGCTCCCAAAGTTTCTCCTCTAAGCTTTTAAATTTTAATACCTTCAAATTCATCCCTTTGCTCCCTCAGACATAGGGCTGGTAGCTGTTTCCTGCAGTTGCTTTTATCTTGTACATGTCTTACCTTTTTGGTTACTTAACTCTATATCTAACAACTCTTTCTATCAAATTCTGTCTCCTCAGTGATAAAAGGGGGAATGGAACTTTAGTTCCTCTGAAATGCTGAGCATTGAAGGAAAAACCTCTAATTTAACTGGAAATCTTCCCTCATGGCACACCTGATGCTTCTCTGCTCCATCACTTGTAAGTTCCTGAAACCCTATCACCTCCAAGATCTCTTTCTAATGGAACAAGAAATATTCACCGCCTGCATGAGACCTGATTTCAAGCCCAGCTCTGCCATTCATTCAGCATGTGACCCTGGACACATCACTTCAACCACTGTGCCTGGCTTTCTTCTCTGGAAATCGAGGATGACTGTTCTGACCTTGCAGGAGACTTATGATGAGATGACATTTATGAAAACACCTAGCATACAGCAGGAACATAACATTTCTTGAATTTAAATCCATCTTCTCCTACGTCTCAACTGCACTTGGCACCTGCCCCAATTAGCTAGCATTCATCATGTAGTCATGGCTGCGTTTAGTGATTCAATTCCACCTACTGTGGTCCGTGAAAATCATTGGTCACTGCAAGCTACAGAGGAGTATGATCTCTCACCTAACCACTGCCAGAGGCTCCCAATCACCTTCCCACCCATCTTACTCAGTCTTACAGGGTTAATCACTACCTTGCTCAAAACCTTCAAGAGCCCTCCAATTAGCCTTGGCATCCACAACTCCCCAGCCCACCCCACCTCCCGCCCCCAATCAACCTGTTGAGCACAGTTCTCTAGCATGCTCTGAGACCCAACTCCAAGACATTTGCCCTGCACTTTCTCATCTCCACGTCTTTGCAGACACCAACACCCTCCCACCTTGGAGAGGAAGTGCACATCCCTTCCTGCTGTGCCCTGACAAAATTAGTGCCATCCTATGATGCCCTCCAGAGTAATTTTCTTTATACGTCTATCGCTACATTTTTTTCCTTACTTTGGTTAAGTACCATCTACGATGCTTAAATAAGCATTATATTCATCTACCCAATTAACATGCCTATTTCTTGAGCCAGGTACTACACTAGGCGCTGGATAAACAGCCCTAAACAAAGGGTCCCTACCCTCAAGGAGCTCACCGCCTAGCAGAGATTGACAGTAAACAAGGCCAGGTGATGACTGTAATAACGGTCTTGGAAAAACCAGGAGCTGTCTAGCGCGCCCATGAAATACAAGTTTCTGGAAACCCTGCATCAAACGGGGCCTTTGGATTTCAGTGAGTACAAAAGGAGAGCGCGCATGTGACATCATCTGGTGCTCAGGGTTAGCTGAGCATCCCCACCAATGGACAGAGGTCCTTAAGGTAAAGTTCCTCTCCTCGCCGTCCTCACCTGGGCCTTGTCCAGGCCCCCAGCAACGGGCCCCAGCTCTCGGTCATGTACATCACCACCCATTTACCAAATACGCAGAGGCGCCCGCTGGGCCGACGGCCTTCCTTTGAGACCTGCTGCGCCCACCCACGCCCTCAGGGATCCTCGCCCCGCTGCACGGCCGTTTCCAGCTCCAGCGCGTGCCCAAACGGCACTCCGCGTTCACCCGGCGGCCCGAGACCCGCCACCGGCGCTTCCCCGGCCCCGCGGCCCCCGCCCAGCCGGGCCCCGCCAGCCCCGCAACTTCCCGCCCCCGGCTGCAGGTGGTGGCTATGCCGAGGCCCCACGCGACGCTCACCTCCGGACTGGGGGGCGTCTCGCGCGCGCTCGGCAGCGGCGGGCCCCGAGGCGGCTCCGCGCCCCCCAGCGCCTGGGCCCCGGCGGCCTGAGGGTCCATGCCCAGCTGCCCGCGGCTCGGCGCCCTGGACGCTGCTCGGCCACGTGACGCGCCGGCCTGGCTGCCAGCCCGAGGATACGCCGCAAAGGGCCCAATCAGCCGGGGGCTGCGAGCAGAGGGGGGCGGGACGTGGGGGCGGCGACAGGGCAGCCATGGGCGGGGCGGGGCGGCGCAGGGGGCGGGGCGCGCCGCCAGGCTGAAAACGCCCTGCCTACCTCACGCCCGGGAGAAATCTGAAACAATCTCCGGTAGTGACTTTGGAGGCTCCTGCCGGTGCAGATTCTAAGGCTGGGTTTGCAATGCCAAGTTGTCCCTATTCAACCACAATGGGTGTGTTTCGGCTTAAAAACCTCGAATGACCCCAGTCTACCTGACAGTATACAAAGCCCTGCTGTCAAAACTTTTAATGCAATTTAGGCTCCAACCAGATTTCTCTTTACATCTTCACAGGTTTCCCTATATAACTCAACTACAAATGGACAACTCAGGAGCCCAGTGACTCTCCACCTTCAGTTAACGTTCGTCTTTAAAGTTAATCCATTAGAAACCAGGATAGATGATTAGAACACAAACTCCTACAATGTGTGGTGGACACAGTATATATAGGCTGTTGACAGTCACGGTAACCCTAAACATTCTGCCCTGACAGAATCTGACCCGGGCTCCTATCTTTCAATACTCAAAAGTCTGGTGCTCTACAACCTAGTTATTCCTCTTTTTACATGAGAAGTGGTATCTGGTGATCAGAAGGGCCTGAGCTGAGGACAATCCACAGGACAGACTTCGCTGTCTTTCCCTGCACTGCCTAAACTCTAATAACCTGTTCAAGGTGTGATAATCACACATTAAGTGACAGAAAAGCTGGAATTCACCAGGCGACCTTCTTACAATCCTTCAGGACATCAGAGAACCTCTTCCTTCAATCTCTCCAAGACTGTTGTTTGTAAACTACATAAGGCATTTAAATTTTTGACATAAAGTTCACAAAATATTCAGTTTTATGCTTTTCCCCCATGTAGACTTTCCTACAGAAAGTAAATGTGACCAATTCACATGTGCTCTGTTCTACTGACCTGTGAGTCAGTTTACCCAAATTTGGCTGTAGGTCAGCACTGCAGAATAGAACCTTCTGCAATGGTGGAAATAAAATTCTATCTGTGCTGTCCAATATGGCAACCATGTGCCTATAGAACACTTGAAATGTGACCAGTATAAAAGAGAAACTGAATTAATTTTAATATATTTAAATTGTTACACGTGGCTAGGAACTGTTTCTAACAGTGCAACTCTAGGTGAACTAGCTGAGAGGCATTTTCATAACCTGCAATGTTAAGAACCACATACAACTATGTGATGACCCCAGAGTGATCCCCTTCTCCTCTAAGCTTATAAATTTTAATACCTTCAAATTTATTCCTTTGCTCCCTCAGCCATAGGGCTGGTAGCTGTTTCCTGCAGTTGCTTTTACCTTGTATATGTCTTACCTTTTTGGTTACTTAACTCTGTATCTAACAACTCTATCAAATTCTGTCTCCTCAGTGATAAAAGGGGGAATGGAATTTTAGTTCCTCTGAAATGCTGAGCATTGAAGGGAATACCTCTAATTTAACTGGAAATCTTCCCTCAGGGCATACCAGATGCTTATCTGCTCCATCATTTGTAAGTTCCTGAAGTAGCCCACTACAATCCTCTTTGCTCCCTACTCTATGTGCAACATGTATCCCTTTTGTAAAATAGAAGCCACATAGCATTTAGAACTTTAAACTTCCCAGGACTTAAGGGAAAGGGAAAAAAGTAATAATTTTTTTTTCTTATCTTAAAACAAATGACAAGCAAACAGAGTACAAAAGCTCAAAATAAAAATGTCCTAAAACAGGCCGGGCGCGGTGATTCATGCCTGTAATCCTAGCACTTTGGGAGGCCGAGGTGAGCAGATTGCTCGAGGTCTGGAGTTCCAAACCAGCCTGAGCAAGAGCAAGACCCCATCTCTACTATTAATAGAAATTAACTGGCCAACTAATATATATAGAAAAAATAAGCCGGGCATAGTGGTGCATGCCTGTAGTCCCAGCTACTCGGGAGGGCTGAGGCAGGAGGATCGCTTGAGCCCAGGAGTTTGCGGTTGCTGTGAGCTAGGCTGACCCCATGGCATTCACTCTAGCCTGGGCAACAAAGCGAGACTGTCTCCAAAAAAAAAAAAAAAAAAGTCCTAAAACAGACTAAAATATCCATAGAAATCTAACATATAATAAAATTAGCATCACAAATGAGCAGAGAGAAAAATGATTGGCCAAATAGTGCTGGAAAAATTCCTTAACTGCTTGGGAAAAAAAAACTTGAGTTGTACTTACCAAAAGGAAGGGCTTTCAAAGCATTTTAAAAACAATAGACATCACACAGACACAAAATACATCTGGGTGTCAAAAACTGCCACAAAAAACCTGGGGCCAAACAAAATACTCAATATATAAAAAATCTTATAAATTAGTAAGAAAAAAGTTTTTAAAATAGTCTAAGAATGTGAAAAGACAAGAGAAACATAAAAAACACATTAACTTTACTAACATCAAAGACATGCATGTTACAAATACAGTACTTTTTACCTATTAAAATGGTAAAATGGTAAAATGTGTGTGTATATATATATATAAAAAATACCCAATGCAGGCAAGGGTTGACACTTATATAAATTACTTGAAAAAAGGAACAAATGAGCTTTAGGTATCAATATTATCTAAAAGTTATATCCTTTGGTCCAGTAATTCCACTGTCAGATGTCAATGCTAACACTTCTCTGCTCATCAGCCCCATAGAAGAAACTTTTAAATGTTCTTAACCTTCTTAAAAGACATTTTTCCCCCAATACCCAGAAACTCCTTTTCTGCTGCTCCAACCAGCTATCTCAGAGCATCCAGCTGTTTTTTAAACTCCTACCTCCCTCCCCCAAAGATCTCCTTTCTTGCACATAACGAACAAATATTTCTTGAAGAAATGAATGAGTAAATAATAATAGTATAAATCCAATTCTGATAAAGGAAATCAAATTACTGACTTTAACTCTAGATGGATTACAAGATGCTTTTATTTTCCTCTACAGTATTCTATTTCCTCCGTATTTTCTAAAACAAATGCGTACCATGTGTACTTTTATAATATGGAGAGAATAAACACACAAAACCGTACGTTCTCTTCCATTTGAACTGGCTCTTAGGTCTAGATTAAGAGATACTCATGCTTGACCTAGGATAATAAATGAAGCTCAGCTGCATGATTTCTATATAGTCTAGAAAACATTTAGGACCTATGGTACGTCTGGCCTCAACAAGCAGCCATTAAATCAGTTCTCTTTTCTGGAATTAAAGATTAACACGTTAACACACAATCAATGCACATCTCAAAATCAAACAGCCATCTTGTCTGCCCTCTTTAAGCAAATTACAGATTTGATTCATAATACAAATCTGGGATGGGCACAGTGGCTCATGCCTGTAATCCCAGCACTTTAGTAGGCTGAGGTGGGAGGATCACTTGAGCCCAAGAGTTTGAAGCTGTAGTGAGCTACCATCATGCCACTGCCCTCTACCCTGGGCAACAGACCAAGACCCTGTCACCAAAAAAAACAAACAAACAAAAAAACCACAATCTGCCTAGAGGGCTTGCAACACTATTTCACAAAGTTGATTGTATTCTTTCTCTTCACAAATGGCCAGTCTGATGCATTGTATGTTTCGCTACAAACACCTCTGCTGACTCTCCCTGCAACATTTTCATGGCTCGCCAATAGATCAGTCCGCAGTTCTCAGGTCTACCAAGGATGTGGTTCAATTCTTCTCTGATGTAATCCATCCAAAGATCTTTAAGAGGAACCAAAAAAATTACTGTCAACATACAATTAGACAAGTGACAAGGCTTTATCAGGCAAACTTATTTAATACCAATTCAACCTAATTTCTAAGAAACTTAACTTACTGGTATTTCCCTTTGTAAAACAATACCTCTCTCTCTTAGCTTCTTTACACTAAATGTGTAGTGAAAGACTTTTTTTAAGTAAAAAATCCTCACATTAATCAAGACAGTCTCTGTTATTTAATGAACTCAAATACTAAACTTTTTAAAGAAGAAGATTTTTTTTTAAAATAAAAGATTTGGGCCAGGCATGGTGGCTCACGTCTATAATCCTAGCACTCTGGGAGGCCAAGGTGGGAGGATCGCTCAAGGTGAGAAGTTCGAACCCAGCCTGAGCAAGAGCGAGACTCCCTCCCTACTATAAATAGAAAGAAATTAATTGGCCAACTATTATATATATAGAAAAACTTAGCCAGGCATGGTGGCACATGACCTGTAGCTGTTGTCCCAGCTACTCGGAAGGCTGAGGCAAAAGGATTGCTTGAGCCCAGGAGTTTGAGGTTGCTGTGAGCTAGGGTGATGCCACAGCACTCTAGCCCAGGCAACAGAGACTTCTGTCTCAAAAATACACAAATAAAGTAAAATATTTACCATTACCATGCACATGGGGAGAATCATATAGTGATTACCCTAAAAGGGAAGATTTTCTGAATTTCTTTCAAGGCAAAAATTGACCTCAACGAATTCACTGTAACCTTGTTACCATGCTTCATAAAATTTTCTATGGTTAGCAAAAATGACACATTCATTTACTTTACCAGGAAAAGTTGTCTGTTGAAAACCAATAGGAGCTAGTATATTTTTTTAATATGTGAGTTTAGTAACTATACATATCACCTATACATACGAGTTCATAAATAAAGCTCAGATTTACATGACATATCTATACCCAGGAGTATGTTGTGCCAGTCCTACAAATGAGGGTAATCTAGTGACAGCCAATGACAACGAATGCCAATTAGCACCTCACCTTTACCCCTTTATTATAGCTCTCATTCCTTTTTATTATAACCTACATTATTAACTATTTCCTTACAAATACATTTTTTCCAGAGAACCAAGCCAAGCAAATCTTTCTCTAATCCAGAGTTCTTAAGACAACCCACAGACCCTTGGGCTTGTGAACTTAAAATCATGTGTTCAAGTATTTATGCACAACACAAAGGAGGAGGCAAAGTCAGGATTCAAATTTTATTCTAAAAAAGGGCCATGAGGCAAAAGAAAGCTAAGAAACACCGTTTGAACTACAGTCATTGGTCACTGCACATGCAAACACTCATGTGTCTATAAGCGAAGTCTACTTACCAGAATCTACAGATCCAAACTCTCTCAAAGCCCTCTCATAATATTCTCTTATATTCTCCATCTTGCAGGATTCCTAACAAAAAATAATCAGACAATCTTCCCTCAAAAGCCTATTTTATAATGTCACAAACTCATTTCAACCATATTGTCAAATAGCTACCATCTGTTAGGTATTTGAAGAAGGTGGGTTAGGGTTTAAGATGAATACAGGCTGGTTCTCAACCTGCCCAGAAAAAGGTCAAATTGCACTACTTACCAAAATAAAATAAATGTCAAACATAAAAACACTTTGCTCTGGTACCATGGAGAAAAGCCTAATTAGAAAAAATAGGGGAACAAGGGCAGCTTCACAGAAAACATAATATTTGACAGCCTTGAAGGATGAGTAGGATTTAAATTTTTTTTTGAATGGAGATGGTTATACTCTCGTGGCTAAGGATTTCTTCCTTTTCAGTATCTGGGCTCTGACACATACTAGTTATATCCACCTTAACCACTTCGGTACGGCGCTCCCCAGCTGCGAAACCTTGCCCACAGCCGGCACTCACAGTCCGCACGATAGCTTGTGCTGTGCATTGATGACGAATCCGTTTTACTTTTGTTTGATGGAGAAAGATTTAAAGCACTGAAAGTTTGTTTTACTTTACAGGCAGCTTTACTTGTAATGTAAATCAGAATAGGTAACATATATGTTTTCATTACATTATTTTTAAATGTTCACAATTTTATTTTGATAAATGAAAAATTAGAAAAGTCATATTGCAGCTGTCGGCTAAAGTCGACGTGTGCATTCATCTGTGGCTGTATAGTCAACGCAGGTACCGACGTGGTTAAGACTTCTTTTATTGGCCAGGCACGGTGGCTCACACCTGTAATCCTAGCACTTTGGGAGGCCAAGGAGGGAGGACTGCTTGAGCTCAAGAGTTTGAGACCAGTCTGAGCCATAGCGAAACACCATTTCTACTATAAATAGAAAGAAATTAGCCAAACAACTAAATATAGAAAAAATTAGCCGGGCATGTTGGCACGTGTTTGTAGTCCCAGCTACCAGGGAGGCTGAGGCAAGAGGAATGCTTAAGCCCAGGAGTTTGAGGTTGCTGTGAGCTAGGCTGATACCACGGCACTCTATCCTGGGTGACAGAGCCAAGGCTCTGTCTCAAAAAAGAAAACCACTTCTTTTATCAAGGCAGTCTAAATAAATACTAGTTATACAACCTTCAGGAAGTTTTTAAAACTCCCTGATCTTAAACATTTCCTCACCTATAAAACAAGGGTAATAATTAGCACAACAAGTATTAAACTAAAATGTTAACTATGCACCTAGCAGAATATCTATAACTAACTTTATAATCAATAACCACTAATTTTTTTTTTTTTTGAGACAGAGTCTTGCCCTCTTGCCTAAGCTAGAGTGCCGTGGCATCAGTTTAGCTCACAGCAACCTCAAACTCCTGGGCTCAAGCAATCCTCCTGCCTCAGCCTCCTGAGTAGCTGGGACTACAGGCACAATGCCCGGCTAATTTTTCTGTTTTTGGTAGAGACAGGGTCTCACTCTTACTCAGACTGGTCTCAAACTCCTGACCTCAAGCAGTCTTCCCACCTCCACCTCCCAGACAGAGAGCTAGGATTACAGGTGTGAGCCACCATGCTTGGCCTAATTCTTTACCTCTATTTTTTTAAAATGTATTCTTTGTTTCCCCATTTTCAAAGTAGATTAACATCTTTAGTTTAAAAATCCTTTTGTATAGTAAAATGACTATTTTCTCATTCATATTTCCCTTCACTGAAATTGTACTGTATTATAGAAAGTCAATTTAACCTCATTTTTACACATGCATGAACAGAATCATACTTTAAGGGCTCATAATGTTCATGGCACTATGCAAAGTCCTTTCTATCCAGTATCCCATTTAGCCCTACAACTCTCACACTCTAAAACAGTATAATGATTTCCTTTATAAATGAGGGTACAAGATTTAGAAATGAATTGCCCAAGGCACATAACTACTTGGCTATCAAACATTATGCTATACTATTTCCTGACTATAAGGCTAGAACAGATGCTTGACTCACACCATGATTGAAACTATGAAAAATAGTTCGACCTCCCAAGTAATTTTTAAAAATTCAAATACAAATAATAATCAGAATAGCGAAATAAAAGAGAAAAGGCAAAACTGAATACTTGGAGAATCAATGAGGAAATAGATATACTGCTGACTGACCCTTTTTCTATAACTTCCATTCCTTTTTATGATGACCTACATTATTAACTTCTTCCTTACAAATAAGTGTAATTCTTTTGGCAGACTATCTGGCAATACATAAAGAACCATAAAAGATAAATTAGTATTCCCAGTCTTTGAAATGTATCTCAAAAAAAAATCCTTCCTCCCCAAACAAGCTACATTAACAAAATGTCTGTAGCTCTGTTCTCAGTATCAAAAACTGGAAACAACCTATGTGTAATCAAATAGTTACAAAAACTACAGGTTTAGGAATAACAATACAACCATTAAAAATATTACTTACATCATATCACACTGAATTATTAATCTATTTTTCCCCATGAGTGTGTATAAACTATGTAAAAATATAGCAACATGTTTACAAAATGTTAAAAAAAAAAAAAAGAGAGAGCAAAAACCATCCCCCATATAGCACATAAGTCAGAAATCAGTACAAAACAGGGTGCCAGGTCAGGTGTGGTGGCTCACGCCTGTAATCCTAGCACTTTGGGAGGCCAAGGCAGGAGACTGCTTGAGCGCTTGAGGTCAGGAGCTTATAAAAACATTGCCACAAATTAGTAACCACTAACCAATTTTCCCCGACAAGAAATGCTTAAACGAAACACTTACTTGTTCCTTTTCAATCTGAATCATTTTCTTGAAAAAATCAACAGAAAATGGACGGCTTTCCTGTAAACTAAAAAGGAGTGGAGAGATGTCATCTTCCACAATGACAGAAAGCCTCTTACATCTCATAAATACAAATAAATACCCAGGCCAGTGCCTCCACGACACATTTAATGAAGACTTATCTGCAACTCAGTGGAAGGACCCGACCTGATGGCCACTCTGATAACTCAAATGAATATTTTCAACCAGTAATGAGTGTTTACCATCAATAAACTCTTCCCTACCCAGTTTTCTTACTGTACTCTTCTCTCACTTCTAGAGTCTTAAACGCTCTTGACTGCATCTCAAAGTCTTTTTAGAGACCAATAATTCCATTTCTAAGAATATATTATAAAGAAATAATTTCCAATATGGATAAAAAATATTTGTGCAGAAATTTTCATCAAAGCAGCATTACTGCCGGGCGTGGTGGCTCACGCCTGTAATCCTAGCACTTTGGGAGGCCGAGGCGGGCGGATTGCTCAAGGTCAAGAGTTCGAAACCAGCCTGAGCGAGACCCCGTCTCTACCAAAAATAGAAAGAAATTAATTGACCAACTAAAAATATATATAGAAAAAATTAGCCGGGCATGGTGGCGCATGCCTGTAGTCCCAGCTACTCGGGAGGCTGACGCAGTAGGTTCGCTGAGCCCTGGAGATTGAGGTTGCTGTGAGCCAGGCTGACGCCACGGCACTCACTCTAGCCTGGGCAACAAAGTGAGACTCTGTCTCAAAAAAAAAAAAAGCAGCATTACTGTGGCCAAATAAGTTATGGCACATTTACAGGGTGATATATCATTCAGCTATTTTTAAAAAATGATGTTTATGAAGAATTTTTACTTAAGGGAAAAAAGGCCAGCCTAATATTCATCAATAAAAGTGGTATACAAGCCGGGCGTGGTGGCTCACGCCTGTAATCCTAGCACTTTGGGAGGCTGAGGCGGGCGGATTGCTCAAGGTCAGGAGTTCGAAACCAGCCTGAGCGAGACCCCATCTCTAAAAATAGAAATAAATTAATTGACCAACTAAAAAATATATACAAAAAATTAGCGGGCATGGTGCGCATGCCTGTAGTCCCAGCTACTCGGGAGCTGAGCAGTAGGTCGCTGAGCCCGGAGTTTGAGGTTGCTGTGAGCCAGCTGACACCTCGGCACTCACTCTAGCCTGGGCAACAAAGTGAGACTCTGTCTCAAAAAAAAAAAAAAAAAAAGTGGTATACAAAATTGAGATTACAGTATAATCTCAACTACACAAACAAATTTTAATGATATATTAACAGTGGTTTTTCTCTTAAGGATGGGATTACAATGAAATACTTAGCATTACCTTTCCCCTCACCCCAATAGGTATGAACTGCTTTTACTCTTCAGAAACAGGAAAAACAATTACCTTTTAAAAAATAAATATATTAAAAGACAGGGTTTCACTATGTTGCTCAGCTGGATTCAAACTCCTAGGCTCAGCTCAAGCAATCCTTCCACCTCAGCCTCCCCAATAGCTGGGATTATAGGTGCCTGGCTTTGAAAAATTACTTCTTGAGAAAAGTCTCTTTCCAGCCTGGGCAATATAGTGAGACCTTGTCTCTAAAAAATCAGGCAGGCACGGTGGGCATGCACCTGTTGTTCCAGCTACTCAAGAGACTGAAGCAGGAAGATCGCTTGAGCCCAGGAGTTCAAGGTTACAGTGAGGTATGACCACACCACTGTACCTAAGCCAAAGCAATAGAACAAGATGCTGCCTTAATAAAAAAAAAAAAAAAAGAAAGAAAGAAAAAGAGAAAAAGCCTCTTGGATTATTTCGTCAGATAGAAACAATCTGGGTATGAGGGGCTGAGTATGGGGTGGAGAGACCAGTAACAACTATGAACATTTGTGAGTACCTTTTAAATACAGCTCTGGCCTTTTTGTAGCCACCACTTCGATAAGCCCAATCCAGGTACCTATCCTTCAGGGTTACTGAGTCAGCACCTGTGACAGCTAAGATACCTCTCTACAATTTAAAAGAAAAAAGAAACAAACAATGTGAAGAAATTTATAGTTATCAAAACAAATTTTCCCAGAACCACCCAGGCCACTCAACAGTGCTTTAGGAGCACTGCTGATGAAACAACCCTAGAGCTAGCCAACCACTCGACCCATCTGCTCATTGCCCACACAACACCCACAACATGGAGCCTATACCTTAAAGATTGCCTCAGTGTCTTCTTGGCTTTCTGTACTCTCACTCCACTCTACCCAAGAAATCCACAAGGGGAGACAAACCTGCTTATAATAAAAAAAAAGTTAGAAAAGAGCATATAACAAAATATCACAGGTACCTCATAAATACGTAAAACACCACGTATTAATAAAAAAATTGTTAGAAAATGACAGCTTAGGGCTATGTTCTGAAAACTGACCACTATAAAGGCAGGTTTCTCCTAAAATAATCCATATGTAAATTATGGATTCATTCCTACTCTGTCCTCATTGGGACAGAATTCTCATTGCCCAGCAGGAATGAAATATCAAAATACAGTCTCCTGACTGAGTCACCCAGAGCAACATTCTGTGAATTTTAGGTCCCTTCTGTTGGGAAATACTGCCTATACCTATAACATTATGAATCCTCTTTTAGTTAATTAAGCAATTATCAGCCCATAGCTTAGACGCACAGCTACCCAGGTCATGTCTCTGCTGTTTAGGACCTGTAACACAAGCACTAATCTAGGCTAAACTATCTGATCTTCACTTATGGCCCAGAGGCATACACAAATGAGCAGCAAAATCAGTTTTTTTCCCCCACTTTATCTTCTCCCATACATTTATTCACAGTAAAGCTTTAAGATTTAGACCTTTAAACTCTAAGGTGTACAAATGTATTTAGTTTAAAAGTTGAGCTTATGTTCACTTTTGGATGCAAGTGAGAATAACACTGTTAGTATTTCTCACTTGTAAAATAGCTAAATAGACTAGGAAGTTTTATATAGCTTAGTTTTCAAACAAACAGTTAAAATAAGCTATTAAATGTCATACTACACATTCTAAGAGGTATAAAAAAATAAATAATTTTTTAAAATTTAAATTCTACTCTTGACCCTTGAACCATCACCATTTAACAACAAATGCCACTCTAGGGTTGGCTTTCATCAGACAAGCATATTCCAAATGAACTTTGGCTGAAGTCTTAAAAGATTTCCCCAAAAGAAGGAAATACAAGACTCAATTCACAGACCTGCGGTTTCAGGCACACAAAGGCTTCTTCAAAATGCATGGCTATGTCAGGGCTTTCTGAGGCAATCAGCACCTGCAGCTTCCTCTGCCACATTGTTGCAGAGTCTCTAAACAAATCAGTCCCAGCTACTGCCACCTCCAGAGCTTCCCTAAAGTAGTTGTAGTGTGACAACAACTCAATCTAGATAAGACAAAGGATCATTGGAAAATTAATTACTGAAACCTGAATTATCTATGTAAATGATAAGTTAGACCATATTTGAGGCAACAATTTCAACACAGCCTTTCAATTTCAATTTCAACTAAAGCCTTTACCGTGGCTGCTAAACAGGCACAAACTGAACAATTTGAAATCCCTCCTCCTTTCTGTGCTCCTATCCACAAGGGAAGACAAGAGGCAGAGGCTGGAGGATCACTCGAAGCCAGGATTTCAAGGCCTCAGTGCACTATGATTACGCCTGTGAAAAAAACCACTGCACTCAGTCTGGACAACATAGTAAGATCCCATTTCCAAAAAATTTTTTTTTAATTTTAATCTTTCTTATATGCTAAAGAAGTCTTAAGCTAAGACTTAAGAAGGAAAAAGAATTAATTAGTTGGGTAAAAGTGGAGTCCCCCGGAAAAGAGAAGGCTCTCCCAACCAGCATGTGCAAGAGGCTAGGTAGGGATAAGAGACAGGCTGGATATGAAAGGAAATCCAAGTTCAGAATGGCTAGAAGGTAGGATGCAAACTGGAGAATTGGAAGATGAGGCTGGAAATACAGTTAAGGAGTTTGAGCAGCTTTATCCGAAGGACAATGGAAAGCCACAGAACAATCTGAAAATTTTAAAAGATCATTCTGTGGAGAATAATCTGGAGAAAAGATGGATACAGAATCAGCTAAGTGTTTAAGTTAGTGCAGTGAGTGGCAGTAGGCTCATAGACTCTCCTTAAAGGCAAGGCCACCAAATGAGTAATTAGGTGGTGTGCTTAGGAAGAGTAACATCAGAGATTTGAGGAATACAGGGTATATGAAGTAGCCAGAGTGGTGAACATGTAAAAGAAAGATGATATTGGAAAGAAGAAGATGGCCACGGCAATACTCAAGGCCCATATGAACTTATAGGGTGTGAGTGACTTGCCAGCATTCAATAACTCAAGCAAAGACAGCTGAAATAATCCAGGCCTGGGGTTTTCCCAGACCAATGCCATAATGGGAGAAGGGAACCTCAGTCTTGGTACAATAATGCAGTAGGCTACTATATGACATATTCATTATGTAAAGATATGTGAAAGTATGGAGAAAATGTTAATGTAAAAACAATAGAATACAAAATAACAAGACATTAATTGCAATAACATAAAAATGATATGGACCAAAAGAGGCAAGAGTTATACAAATAAAAAGCCTTCAACAAAGATTTTTGTTCTTTTTTCCCCAATAAAGGTATTCAAATACATTAACACATACACTATCTCACTTAATGCTCTTAACAACTTTGTAAGTTGATTTTTTAAAAGGGTCACTATTTTAAAATCGAGTAAACAAAGTCAGAAAAGCTCACTGGTTTGTCCAAGTCACCTAGACATTAAAGTAGCAAAATCTGATCTAGAACTGTGTATTCCCACAGCATATTTTGGTCCCTGTAATAATCTTTACCATGTAGTACAGATGGTTTAATATGCCTCTTACTACAATGTCAGCTTCTAAAACACAGAAACACATCTAATTTGTCTTTACTGCATCAATAGTTATCTGGGCTAGGCATATGTTCAGGAAAGGGATGTTCAGTAAAAGAGGAATGAATGGACAAACAAAATAAACCTGAATTGTGAATCTTTGTTTTGAGTGTTTTTCACTATTGCTCCCTTTATTAGTATGGATTTCATGTTTAGCACACACCAAATACTGGCAGCCAAATGTAAACACTTTCTACATATCAAATTTCCAAATGGCCTCAGTCATAAAACTATTAATGTATGTATTTAAAACACATGACTCTGGCACAAAACAATTGGAATAAAGTATATATAACTGGCAGGGAATGTATATTCTACGTCCTTACCCATTGCTTGTATTGCAACTCTGGCAGAAACTTCAGTTCATGTGCCCTGCTGAATACACTCATGGTTCTTTGCAGCCTCTGAAAACAGAAAAATCGCTCAGTTCATTATAAAGATCCCAGCAGAGTCCTTTGGCCCTCTGACATAAACAAAAGTAGTTTTGCAATTTCTGAGAATTTAGAGAAGAGACTAGGGCATGGTGGCTCACACCTGTAATCCTAGCACTCTGGGAGGGCCAAGGTGAGCGGATCACTCAAGGTCAGGAGTTCAAAAAAGGACAGAGTTGACCCTGCAAAGTGTTTCACTTATGAATAGATGCACTGGGCAGCTGCACCAAACAGAGCCAAGAAAGAAGAGAGTTCCTCCTAACCTGGTAGCAAACCAGTCTCAAACCTTCAGAATGACAGGTCACTCAGAAAGAAAGAGAGTGGTTAAGCATGAAGTGCTTAGAAGTTGTCTCAGACCCCAAAAGAGCTGTGCTTCTTTTCTTCTTTCAAAAGAAAGTCACTTTCTAGTCAGCCATTGTGACCATGTAACCTAAGTCCTTACCTTCCCTCTGAGGAACCCATTCTTTGTCTTCTTAGCAAATCGTTCCAAGCAAAAATTCATGTAACATTTCCACATGGCCCCTAGAAAAGTCAGAAAGATTAAGCTGACCAGATCACCAATTCTCTTAGTTCAATAATCATGTACCTTATTCAAAGGGAAAACTCCTCTGAAGAGGAGTATAAATTAGCCTGATGAAAAAAAAGTGTTATTCTGATTACAGCCAAATACCTCAAATACTGGGAAAAAACAAGAGTAATGGTATAAATATAAAACTCCAGGTCACATATCCCCTCAGCCTTTATTTTCCAATACTGCAAAATTAAAATTCAATCTGTATCAAAAGATAATTAAGGAATAATAATTTTAAAATCTTCTGAATTATTTCCTAAGTATCATTTCTCCCAAAGAAATGACTATAAATACCACAATTATCTGAGAAGGTCATAGAAGCTCCACCTTTCATAATCAGAGAAAGAACGAGTGGGAAAGCCAGGCACATTCTAAACTGTACTCCAGAGAGGTTCCTGATATTGATTTTGATAACGGGAACAGGAACTTCATTTTCACACTCATGGATACTATTACTTTTATAGCACACCATGATTTGGTGAAGTTCACCTGTTGGCAGAGTCTCCACTGCCTCTTCATACACGGCATAGCATCTCTCCTCCCTCCGGCCCAGCTCCACTGATTTGGCTCGCTTCGTCACAGGCGGCTCTTCTCCTGGCTGTGACTCTATCTCTAATTCTCGCCTTGCCACATAATCCCAAGTGAGAGGATCATCTGTGTGTAGAGCCTGGAGGCTGAAAAATACAGCTTACTGGTATATACCCTACAAAAAGAAACTAACTCACAATATCAAACAGATCCTCATATAAGTGGTGAGTAAAAAACAAAAAAAAAAGAAAAAATATCCGGCAGCTCTCTATGCTCTAAAAATGTACACAGGACATCCCTTTAATGATTACAGTACCATAAGAGCCATTTCCCAATAGGCTCTCCAGAGTATCTTCACTCACTGTATAAACTGTGTCAATGGATCAGAGCTGTCACACATTTATTTTATTGAGTTTGAGAATGTTTCAAAATCATTTACAAACTTTAATTTTTAAGTTACCTCTCAAAGTCAAGTCAGCAGTTACCTATGACAACACAAGTCTCCATGAGTCCTAGAGAACCTTATTATATCTGGGCTCTTGATTTTCTATCATAGAGCCAGAGAAAAAGTACAACCTACTCCTCTATTAAAACCCTGTAAATATTCAAAGAATAAACTGATTCATGTTCTATTTTATCTCCTGTCAAAATAAGGGGTGTTACCTAAGAATGGGAAATATCCCCAAGATAGGCTACAAATGATTCTTAAACCATATAATCTGACATTACAGAATAAAATTACCTGCAGCACTCAGCTACAAACATCTATGAGTACAACTCTCATTTTATGAACAAAAGGAAGGTCAGACAAGCAAGATTTAGATTTTTATATACGCCTTAGATATGTTTGTTAATGAATAAACTATTTCTCAAAGGAAGCAAGAAAGTATATCAAAAAACTTCTTCAGAAACATACTTTTCTTTTAATATGAATATGCATATGAATTTATTTAACATGACTAAATGCAAATACAGCAAGCCCATTACTTTTGTTTTTTTAATTTAATTATGATACAACGGTCCTAAAACTTAGCTTTTCCTTCATGAATTTAGTGCGATATCTTCTTTCCTCGCTACTGAACATCGGACCTCAAACCCTTACCACAAGATCAAAAATAGATATGTTCCCCTTTCTACTATTTTACTTACTCATCGTAAATTTCTTTTTGGAGATCTTTGGCAAACTCAAATAGCTGTGCAATTGAAAGCAGTGACAGGTGAAATTCCGCACCTAAATTTAAAAAGCAGGGGAGGAGAGGTTCATTGTCAGTAAGACTTTTAAGAATCACTTTACTCTAAAATTACCATTTTCTTAGCACTGTAGTTAATTTTTTCTTTTTCAACTGAGAAATGGGGGCCAGGCATGGTGGCTCATGTCTATAATCCCTAGCACGCTGGGAGGCCAAGGCAGGAGGATCGTTCATGGTCAGGAGTTCAAAACCAGCCTGACCAAGAGTGAGACCCCGTCTCTATTAAAAATAGAAAGAAATTAATTGGCCAACTAAAAATATACAGAAATGTATAGAAAAAATTAGCTGGGCATGGTGGCGCATGCCTGTAATCCCAGCTACTCAGGAGGCTGAGGCAGAAGGATTGCTTGAGCCCAGGACTCCGAGGTTGCTGTGGGCTAGGCTGAAGCCACAGCACTCTAGCCAGAGCAACAGTGAGACTCTGTCTCAAAAAAAAAAAAAGAGCGAGACCTCACCTCTACAAAAAAGAGAAAAACTAGCCAGGCATGGTGGCACATGCCTGTCGTCCCAACTACTCAAAAGGCTAGGATAAGAGGATCAATTGAGCTCAGGAGTTCGAGACCAGCCTAAGCAAGAGCAAGACTCCATCTCTACTAAAAATAGAAAAATTAGCCAGGTGGGGTGGCCCACACCTGTAATCCCCACTACTCAAGAGGCTAACACAGGAGGATCCCGTGAGCCCAGGAGTTTGAGTTTGCTGTGAGCTAGGCAGATGCAATGGCAATCTACTCAGGGCAACACAGTGAGAGTCTGCCTCAAAAAAAAAAAAAAAAAGGACAGAGAGAAAAATGTGACAATATAGGAAAAAACAAAGTCACCCCATAGTCTCCCTACACAAGCAAAGCTTTTATTAATATTCTAGAGTATTCATAAGGTAACAGACCAAATCATCTATTTATTTCAATTCTCTATGAGTTAAGTACTTAATAAGAACTTACTGAAATGTTAAATTATAGCTGAGGAGAAATAAACCTTTTCTGAAAGAAAGAGGACACTATTCCCATAGAATTTTATATTCCATTCTAATAGAAAATTTCAAAATTAGCTAAAGTTCTTCTTCATTATGAAAAGAATGTTTCACTTCCCTACCAAAAAGAAATGTTCATACTCAAAGAACACTGAAAATTAAATTAAAATAAATAAATGTTGAAAAGATACCTACCTTTAATTACGCTTACAGAATTTTTATAGACGATCCGTGCCAACTCGCCCTGAAGGATTTCTTCAGAATAATCAAGATTCTCCTAGAGTGTTATATTAAACATAACTCAACAGTAGTGACAGTAAGTAGAAAAAGCACCAGGATGTAAAGTAATAGTCCTAAACTACCTTTGCCACATGACCTCTGGCAAATCACCTCTCTCTGGGTCAGTTATTTCACATGTAAAATGTGAAGCTTGAATAAGATCTCTGATCTTTCAACTGTGTTCTCTCAGGCTGTTGGAGTAGCAGCAAGATCACATGGCTTAAGGCCTCACTCTCCATTTTACATGCCTTGTTTGCCCTTCTATATAATATTTTCTTAGAATAAAAGAAGTTCTGAGGTAGAAAGTACAATAACAGATGATAGTAAAGTTCCTTTTTTTGTTTTACCACTAATATTCTAAATCTTTCTTTAAAATTATTGTCACATTAAAAATCATATAAAAAAGGAAAGAAAGGAGTCTAGGACCCACACATTTCACAACTTTCCTCGAGTTCCTTCAACCCATTAATAGATCACTGAGACCATACAGTTAAAGAATAGCATTTGGCCATTCTATCAGTAATAATTTTGAAGACCACTTCAATTAGTCCAAATATCTCTTTTTAAAGCACAAAACTCCATTTCTATTACTAAGTCTATTTATTTAATTAACACTAGACCCATCTTAAAGTTGCAAAATGTGACAACATTAAATTGAGAAGAAAAATATATTTCAAAGATTTTCTCTTTCTCCTGAGCAGGCTCAAAACACCATATATTAGTAAGTTACAACACAATCAATATTTAGGACCTTACCACGTCCATGTTGGCTTTTTCAAATTCTTGCTTTTCCTTCCTCAGTTTTTCAACATGCATCAGCTCCATCCTAAAGTACTACAGAAAAGAAATAATAAACTGAAAATCTTTAGAGATGCTTTCTTAAAAAATTAGAAATAAGTAGGATGCCATTTTTTTTTTACCCATAAATATGGGATCTAGAAAAGTTTGGGAGTGTTATATTTTACTTTGCTATGAAACCAGCTGACACTAACAAGGTATGGAGAAAATGGTATTATTTTATGCTCTTTTGACAAGCAATTTGGACATATGAATCAAAAACTTTAAAAATGTTTGTGCCTTCAGTCATCATTTCACTAAACTGTAAATTCGAGTCCTAAGTTGGTGAAGAGAAGCAATAAACATGCTATGATGTCCTTAATACAGCTGATAAGTATATAAAGCTTGTCATCTAACAGTGAAGATTATTGCAAGGGATTTTTTTTTTTTTGAGACAGTCTTGCCTCTGTTGGCAGGGCTAGAGTGCCATGGCATCAGCCTAGCTCACTGCAACCTCAAACTCCTGGCCTCAAGCAATCCTCTCCTGCCTCAGCCTCCTAAGTAGCTGGGACTACAGGCATGTGCCACCATGCCCGGCTAATTTTTTATATATTTTTAGTTGTCCAGCTAATTGCTTTCTATTTTTAGTAGAGACAGGGTCTCGCTCTTGGTCAGGCTAGTCTCGAACTCCTGACCTTAACCTATCCTCCCATCTCAGCCTCTCAGAGTGCTAGGATTATAGGTGTGAGCCACCACACCCAGTCGCAAGGGATTTTATGACCTTATCCATATACATATATCTCAGAAGTATCAACAAAGGCCAAATGGGAAATTTGGACTTCTAACCCCATCTAGCAGCAAAGAAGCAAAGCAGTATCCAAGAAAGTATATTAAACAGAAGATTTAAAGAATCTCCAGAATCTCATAAAATAATAGCCGAAATGTCTAAAACTCAATAGAAAATCACTTACCATACCAAAAACCAGGAAAATCTCAACTTGACTAAGAAAAGACAATCAAGAGATATCAACATCAAGATGACACAGATGTTAGAATTATCTGACAAGGATTTTCAATCAGCCATCATAAAAATGCTTTACAAAAAGACAAAAAAGAAAAACCAAATTCTTGTGAGGATGCAAAAAAAAGGAAAATTTCATACACTACTGGTGGGATTATAAACTAGTATAGCCAATATGGAAAACGGTATGGCATTTTCTCAAAAAAACTACAAATAGAACTACCATATGATCTAGCAACCCCACTACTGGGCATTTATCCAAAGGAAAGAAAATCATCATATTGGAGATGTTTGCAACTCTATGTTTATTGCAACACTGCTCACAATAGCCGTGTGATCCCACAAAAGATATGGGATCAACCTAGGTGTCCACCAAAGGAGTGGATAAAGAAAATGCAGTATACATAAACAACTGTAATACTATTCAGCCATAAAAAAATGAAACCCTGTCATTCATGGCAACATGGATGGCACTGGAAGGCATTATGTTAAGTGAAATAAATAGGAACAGAAAGTTAACCATCACATGTTCTCACTCATATGTGAAAGCTAAAAAAAGTTGATCTCATGGAAATAAAAAGTAGAACAGAGTACACTAGAGACTGGGAAGGGTGGGCAGAAGTAGGGGATAGGGAGGGATTTGTCAAAGGATATAAAATTACAACTAGATAGGAGGAATAAGTTTTAGTGTTCTCTATCATTGTAGGACTATAGTTAACAATAATATATAGTTCCAAATAGCTAGGAGGACACTGAATGTTCCCAACAAGAAGCAATGACAGAAACTTTAGAACTAAAAAATACAGTAACTGAAATAAAAGAACTGAGGAGGGGACCTAAGAGCAGAATGCAGACAAGAGAGGAAAGAAACAGTGAAACTTAAAATATAACAATAGGCTGGGCTTCGAGGCTCACACCAATAATCCTAACCCTTTGGGAGGCCAAAGCAGGAGGACTGTGTGAGACCAGGAGTTAGAGACCAGCCTGAGCAAGAATAAGACCCCATCTCTACAAAAAATACAAAAATTAGCTGGGTGTGGTTGCATGTGCCTGGCTACTGGAGAGGCTGAGCCAGAAGGGTCACTTGAGCCCAGGAGTTTGAGGCTGCAGTGAGCTATGATACCACTGCACTCTACCTAGGGCAACAGAGCGAGACTCTGTCTCAAAAATAAAGAAGCTGTAACTGGCCCCCCAGAGTCTAGTTCCCTATCCCTCCACAGGTGAGGATTCTAACCTCTCGCTAACCCAGAAGCTGCGTAATGTCAACACCTACCACTGGCCAAGAAATACAAAGATGCTTCTTCTCCCCTTCCCCATTTATCCCCAGCCTCCATAAATTGAAGTCTTTTCAACTTAATAAAGAATATATGTTGCACACAACTTTTGAAATCTCACGTAGACAAAAGACAAAAAAAAAGAATATATGTCTCCAAAGGACTAAGACATCACTCCCTCACCCTAGTGCACACACACTCACTTCTTGATAAAGTTTCGGGCACTCTGGATGAAAGCGCAAAGCCCGAAGAAATAGCTGCCTTGCACTTTCTGAAGACAATCGATCCTCCATTTCCCATTTGGCAGCCATAATCCACAAAGCTGTAAATGAAAAAAAAAAAAAAAAAAAAATCAAGACTTCATTTGAATAAACTAATCAAGTCAGGTAAGAAAGGACCAATGCTCCAATTTTAATACTCAAAAGATTTTTTTTGAGACAGGATCTCACTATGTTGTCCAGGCTGGAGGGTAGTGGTATGATCATAGCTCACTGAAGCATCATTCCTGCCCCAGCCTTTCAAACAGCTAAGATTACAGACATGTGCCACTACATCTGGTTCATTTTATTTGTGTTTTTGTTAGAGATGGAATCTCACTATGTTGCCCAGACTAGTCTCAAACCCCTGGCCTCAAGTGATACTCCCACCTTGACCTTCCAAAATGCTGGGACCACTTAATTTTTGTTTAAAACCTTACCAAAAGGGGGAAAGGAATGGACAGAAGGAGTTTCTAACCACAAAATTTTGCTGCTTTATTTAAAATCGGAAAGAATATCCAGACACAAACTGGTAAATGCTAACATATGTTCAATCTGGATGATAGGTACATAAGTGCCTGTTATTGTATTTCATCACATCTAAGGATAACATTATTATAAGTCAAATACAAATTTTAAAGGTGTTAAAATGCCAGAAAAATCAGTTGGGAGGCTTAGGAGGGAGGATCACTGAGTCCAGGAGTTCAAGGCTTCAGTGAACTATAATTGTGCCACTGTATTCCAGCCTGGGCAACAGAGCAAGACCCTGTCTCTAACAGCAACAACAAAAAAGCCAGAAGAAAATGTGTATGTTAAAAATCAATGAAATAAAAATCATGTTTTGCTCTTTTCTCTGTATTTAGAATAGTTCATAATTTTTCTGAAAACCTTTTGTCCTTCTACATAGGAATTAACCCTACGTTAACATTCTAGTTATATCCCTACAAACTTAACAGAAGTCAGTTATCTTACCAAACAAAATTGCATTTGGTAAAAATGATGCATGGTTGGTAACCTCATCTGGACTAGGAGAACCAGGAATGGTAGCAAGCTGTTACTTTGGGTTTTCTTGAGCATGTGACTCCTAAAATTGAGCACGGATATTTCTAGGATCTCTAGAAGCCATGCCCAGCTTGCTCATCCATAGGCTAGAGTGGCTCCCCTACCACTCAAATGATCTCACCCCCTTAACACCTGAACTGTCACCTTGAGAACCAGAGACTGCCCTCCGAACTGCTAAAAGTACTCTGCTGAAGAAACACACCTAATGCTGTACTGCTATATATAACCTTCTGAGTAAACTGGTGCCAAATGTAGCCTATCTGAGTCTTGTGTAGCACAAAATATCTGATTAAGCCTAATATCCTGAGAATAGGTACTGAAGCACCTCTACCATAAAATATACCATTCACACATTATTTACAAGGGAAGACTTTCTCTTACAAAACATAAGTACCTGCTCTATGCCAGTACTCTTTTAAAATCTACATTAATATTTTCCCCTTTCAATTTTTAAAATCTCTCAAATTTGACTGCCTCTAAATAAGGTATCCTTCAAAGGACTCAAAAGTTTCTGTTATCATCAACTGAAAAGAAATATAGTCCTTCTCGCCTGCAGATACAATAACTAAGTACACAATAGGCAGGGATGAACTAAGAGACAGTTATTCAAGAACAAAAACTGCTGATGCCAACTGTCTAAAGCACAAGTCCTCAAAATAATTTCTCTTAAGTTCATCAAGAAAAATTCCAGGTCAGGTGCAGTGGCTCAAGCCTATAATCCTAGCTCTCTGGGAGGCCGAGGCGGGCGGATCGTTTGAGTTCTGGAGTTCAAAACCAACCTGAGCAAGAGCGAGACTCCGTCTCTACTATAAACAGAAAGAAATTAATTGGCCAACTAATATATAGAGAAAAAATTAGCTGGGCATGGTGGCACATGCCTATAGTCCCAGCTACTCAGGAGGCTGAGGCAGAAGGATCGCTTGAGCCCTGGAGATTGAGGGTGCTGTGAGCTAGGCTGACGCCATGGCACTCGCTCTAGCCTGGACAACAAAGTGAGACTCTGTCTCGAAAGAAAAAAAAAGAAAAATTCCAATTAGCTTGAGTCTAAGTATTAATAAAATATAGAAAAAGAACTGACAAGGATTTCACCATACCTGGCTTGTTGGAATGAATGGCCAACATGGCAGAGAATATCTTGCTAAGTTGAGTTTTGGTACCCTGTAAAAGAGGAAGAAATATTTCCACTTCCTGCACAGAGAAATCATTGCTATTACTCTCAAAGTATTATGTACTGTACCCTCACCAGCCATAAAATCCAATGGGCCAAGATCTGCTATTGCTAGGGACATATCAATAAATACAGACACACTCATAGTTTTCCTCTCTCTAAACCACTAAACATAAACATATGCAATATCTAAAAATAATTCTGACTTTACTGAATATGCATAAAAATTATTTCCTTTTATCTGACACAGAAGCCATTTAGATACGATATTCATTCAGATATACAAATGTTACACTGAAGTTCAACCTTCATGGATTCTTTTCCCATTTATTAATCCTACACCTTTGGAAAAAACATAGAGCTCAGTAATCAAGTATGAAGCCCAAAGGCAGACTAACAGAAAACAGATGAGCAAGACATGGCTTTACTTACCCATTTCTTACAGAAAACTACATAGGTTACCCAAAGTTGAACATCATCCTGCAAGAAAAAGCAATGTAGTAAATAAACTGCCTGAATTTGATCTTTATATATAAAATACACCTTTGAACTAATTAATTTTGTTAAAAATAGAGGTAGATTTCATAAGTTCCAATGTGCTACCACACCCCTCAGCTTATTATGCGCTTCCTCTTAACCATGATAATTCAATCTCTCCCCAACTCCCATCCACCATGTTCCAAGATAAAACTTGTTTATTCAATTTGTTCAATGCAGATCTGAGGTGGTCTCAATCAGGGGTAGCAACACAAAATTTGTCATTCCCAAGAATCTAAAGTACTTCCTATATATTAATAATACATCCAATCCCAAAGCCAAACTTTGAAGAAAATCAAGTTACTGAGGTACTTCCCCTACCTAACCATTTACCTACCACCTCTAAGTCTTCAGTGTACTTTGTATCAAACACACTGTTTTCAGCACCATCCTCACACAGTAACTATATGGTAATGAGATCAATGTTCTTACTGTTTGTTAAGTGGCTCAAAAAATGTTTCCAGCAATGATACCATCATTAAAATAAGGATTGAGGGCCAGGTGAGATGGCTCACGCCTGTAATCCTAGCACTCTGAGAAGCCAAGGCAGGAGGATCACCTGAGGCCAGGAGTTCCAGACCAGCCTGAGCAAGAGTGAGACCTCGCCTCTACAAAAAATTAAAAAACTAGCCAGGCATGGCGGCACATGCTTGTCGTCCCAGCTGCTCAGAAGGCTGGGGAAGGCAGATCACTTGAGCCCAGGAGTTTGATGTTTCAGTTAGCTATGAAGATACCACTACACTCTATCCAGGGTGACAGAGCAAGACCCTGTCTCAAAAAATAAATAAATAAAACAAGATAAAGTATTGAGACACTCAAAAATATAAAGAATGCATTAGAATATCCAACTCAGAATATGCACAACACATATCTTCACCTCTTAAAGTTAGGGATGTTCTGATCACTTACTTTCCACTTTGCTGAAGCACGCTGGAAAACATTTTGTACCCGGCGTACAATAGAATTCTCAATCTCATCCCTCTTAAACGAATATCCAATGCGCTAAAAGAGGACATAAAAAACAAAGCCTCAGTTTAATCACATTTTCTCCAAAAGCAGCATTCCTACTCAATCAGTTAACAGTATACTGATAAAGTAAATAACTGCAAATATCCATTATGGCCACATCACTATTCAGTTTATCAACAACACTGTCTCCCAAACACAAGTTCTAGCTATACAGACACACTGCTTAATTCTGTGATTTTTCCCCAACTTCTAGAAAATCTTCTACTTACTGCTCTTCTTTTCTGGATCAGCTCCAAAAGATTAATTTCATACTATAGAAAAAAAATACAAAAAATAGAAACAAGAAAAAATTATAACCTTTTAAAATCATAAAGTAGAAATCAAGACTATAAAATAGAAAATAATTTGCTAGCAATAAGCATAATTTACAATAAATGTCTAAAATTCACTGAAAAATGACCTTACATCTATAAAATACATAGCCATTAACAAGCTTATGATTGCATGCCTCATTTAAAAAAAACTGCTTTATGAAATATTTCAAGCACACAGAACACCCCATATAGCTACCATATAGCTACATCAAACCCTACATATATTTTAGTATATTTGCTTCAAATCTTTTTTAAAAATAAAACATTTCAGGCCTGGCGCAGTGGCTCACGCCTGTAATCCTAGCACTCTGGGAGGCCGAGGTGGGTGGACTACTCAAGGTCAGGAGTTCGAAACCAGCCTGAGCAAGAGTGAGACCCCATCTCTACTATAAATAGAAAGAAATTAATTGGCCAACTAATATATATAGAAAAAATTAGCTGGGCATGATGGCGCATGCCTGTAGTCCCAGCTACTCAGGAGGCTGAGGCAGGAGGATTGCTTGAGCCCAGGAGTTTGAGGTTGCTGTGAGCTAGGCTGACGCCACAGCACTCACTCTAGCCTGGGCAACAAAGCAAGATTCTGTCTCAAAAATAAATAAATAAATAAAAAATAAAACATTTCAAATAAAGGTGAAGCCCCCCCTATGTATCCATCTGATTCCACTCTTCTTCCTCTCCAGAAGTAGCAACTATACTGACTTCATTATCATTCCCACGCATGACTCCGCACTTTAATGCTGTCTTGAATACTTTCAGATTTTATATAAATCGTATCATGCTACACTCATCATTCCATATTCTTACTCAATATTTTTCCCTGCTAAAACAGGAATTCAAGTTCATTCATTTTAACTGCTATATTTCATTGTACGAATGTGCAATTTACCTATCCCCAGCTCCTGCTGATGTACATTTGTTTCCAATTTTTCTTTATTACAAAAAGCTGCAATTAATAATCATATACATATCCTCTAGTGAACATAAGCAGGAACTTTCTCCAGGGTGTACCCCAGGCCTACCATAAATATGTAATCTTCTCAAGGCACTAATTTTTGTCTGCTTAAATTTATTCCTGTACCCCACTGGATTGCATCAGTGTCATATACATAGTAGGTACTCATCAATTTACTGTGTGAAGGAAATTGCTGGGTCATAGGGTAGGTTCACTGTCTAACTTTATGGGATACCATCAAATTACTTCCTAAAGTGGTTGTACCAATTCTGTACTGACAGTATCAGCCTACAAAATATTTGCTAATATGATGGATATAAAGCAGTACTATGCCCTGGTTTTAATCTATATTTGCCAGATTGTTGACGAGGCTGACATGTTCTCATAGCTTTAAATATGAATGATGTTTCCCCTTTGTGAATTGCATGTTCACATGATTTAGTGATTTTTCTTCCCAGTTGTTTGTCATTTTCTTCATGACTTATAGTTCTTTACATATGTGTACATATGTAGTTCTAACTATATGTGCTACAAATATTCTCTCCCATTTTGTGGCTTGCCTCTTCACATTTGCACTGTCTTTTTTACACAAAAATTTGCATATTTAACATAAATAAATCAATCTGATCAGTTTGTGCTTTCAGCCTTATTTGAAGAAATCTTTCACTATGTGAAGTCATTCTTTTATAGTTTTTGCAAAAGATTTAAAGTTTTTCCCCACAATAAGCTTTTCAATTCAACAGGAATTTGTTTTTGTGCATTACATGAGGAAAGGATCTAATTTTGTTTTTTTGTTTTTTTTTTTTTTGAGACAGAGTCTCACTTTGTTGCCCAGGCTAGAGTGAGTGCCGTGGCGTCAGCCTGGCTCACAGCAACCTCAATCTCCGGGGCTCAGTGATCCTACTGCCTCAGCCTCCCGAGGAGCTGGGACTACAGGCATGCGCCACCATGCCCGGCTAATTTTTTGTATATATATTTTTAGTTGGTCAATTAATTTATTTCTATTTTTGGTAGAGACGGGGTCTCCCTCAGGCTGTTTTTGAACTCCTGACCTTGAGCAATCCGCCCGCCTTGGCCTCCCAAAGTGCTAGGATTACAGGCGTGAGCCACCACGCCAGGCTAATTTTGTTTTTTCAATGTGGATAAGCAGGACCTCATTGATTTAAAACACAACTTATGTGGTGTTTTCGCATGTTCATATTTGTATGCAGGCAAGGGGGTATATATGTAAGACAGTCAGAGTGTGTGTGTATTTTTTAATCTACTTACTTCAGTTACACTCTAAACAAATCAACAGGTAGCTCTTCAAATATTTGAAGAGTGAAATAATTTGCCACTTCTCAAGTTTTCTTACCGTTAAACATCTCTAACACTTTCAATGAATACTCCCACAAGGCTTCCATCCTCAGTGCCCTCCAACTAACCTCTCAATGTCCTTAAAATGTAGTTTTTTTTTTTTTTTTTTTTTTGAGACAGAGTCTCACTTTGTTGTCCAGGCTAGAGTGAGTGCCGTGGCGTCAGCCTAGCTCACAGCAACCTCAAACTCCTGGGCTCGAGTGATCCTTCTGCCTCAGCCTCCCGAGTAGCTGGGACTACAGGCATGTGCCACTATGCCCGGCTAATTTTTTATATATATATATCAGTTGGCCAATTAATTTCTTTCTGTTTATAGTAGAGACGGGGTCTCGCTCTTGCTCAGGCTGGTTTTGAACTCCTGACCTTGAGCAATCCGCCCGCCTCGGCCTCCCAAGAGCTAGGATAAAATGTAGTTTTAAGGCAGGGCTTAATGGCTCATGCCTGTAATCTCAAAACTATCCATTGAGAAAATGAAAGAATCTTGCAGCATACCTCTTTCCAAGTTGACAGACTTATACATACAAGTGTTAACTTTCCAACAATATGCTATCACCAAATTCACACTCTATCTTGCCCACCAAGAGGCAAATTTCTTGCTGAAATCTGATACACACTGTGTCTCTGGCAATCTCTGATCTACTAACTCAACAAAAAGAAAAAAAAGAAAAAAGGGGTGGGGAAGGGGAGAGGAGATCTGGGGAGGGGGGGAAAAGAGGGGAAGGCAGAAAAAGAAAAGTTCAATTTGGTAAGGACTAAAGCCTCAGTGGAGCAATGCTACTCCCAATGATCACCTCTACTCCTGTGCAAAAATGCCTGTCTAATCAGCAATTTTGGAATTTTGAAGAAAATTGATGTTAAGTTCATCATTCTATAACTGATTTAAAATTTGTGAGGGTATTAAAAAGTAATGAAACTAATGAATTGGCCTATTTTCAAGTAAAGATTAAAAAAAATAAAAAACAATATAAAGAAAAAAAAAAGTAATGAAACTATTCACTTACTTGAACATAACTGATAAAGTCATCCTTTAAAAGGGCTCTTCGCTGTATTCTGTATTCTAGATGGGAAGCCTTCTTAATGATAGCCCTGAGAAAAAAGGCATTTTAACTGTTACTCTTGAAAAGATCAAAAGTTAAATAACTTTGGGTTTAAGTTTATTTTGAATATATTTAAAACACATATTTGCCAAAACATAATTCCCAAACACAATTATCTTTCATAAGCAAGTATTCTCTTAACATAATTACTTCTGTGGTCTTAAGGCATCAAGATACACTGTTAAACTTTCAGGAAAATCATCTTAATCAATTGCCAGGACCACTGATGATCCTACCAGCAAAGCCAATTATGTTAAGTATTTTAGATTATTTTATGTATGGTATAAATAAAGACTTCTTTTCCTCCAAATTGAGGTCACTTAGGTTTTAATAATCAAATCTCTTTCCTAGGTTGGTCTAAGTGTAGTGGTGTTTACAACTAATTGATCACAAGTTACAAATTCCTTTGTTCCTTCTTTACTCCCACTGCTTCACTTGACCAGCCTTTAAAAAAAAAAATCTTTCCTAAATTCCTCTTATTTCTGAGTTTTCATCACCTAAATTAAAAAAATAAGTAAATAGCCCGGCGCGGTGGCTCACGCCTGTAATCCTAGCACTCTGGGAGGCCGAGGCGGGCGGATTGCTCGAGGTCAGGAGTTCAAAACCAGCCTGAGCCTGAGCAAGACCCCGTCTCTACTATAAATAGAAAGAAATTAATTGGCCAACTAATATATATATATATATATATATATATAGAAAAAATTAGCCGGGCATGGTGGCGCATGCCTGTAGTCCCAGCTACTCGGGAGGCTGAGGCAGGAGGATTGCCTGAGCCCAGGAGATTGAGGTTGCTGTGAGCTAGGCTGATGCCACGGCACTCACTCTAGCCTGGGCAACAAAAGTGAGACTCTGTCTCAAAAAAAAAATAAATAAATAAGTAAATAAAGAAACTAGGGCTGGGCTTGACAGCCCACACCTGTAATCCTAGCACTTCAGGAGGCAGAAGTGGGAGGACTGCTTGAGGTCTGGAGTTCAAGACCATCCTGAGCAAGAGACCCGTCTCTACAAAAAAAATAGAAAAATTAGCAAGCCATGGTACTGCACACCTGTAGTCCCAGCTACTCAGGAGGCTGAGGCAGAAGGATCACTTGAGCCCAGGAGTTTGAGGTTGCAGTGAGCTATGATGACACCACTACACTCTAGTTCAGGTGACAGACCCAAACTGTCTTAAAAAAAAAAAAAAAACCAAAGAACTAAATTCTACCTTAAAAGGTTATTGCTACAAAGGACTTGTAGGAGAATATTCAGCGTCCTTGTTAAGAAGTGAGTGCATCCATATGTTTTGGTTAACAAAAGAAAAAAAAAAAAAAAGGAAGTGAGTGCACAACGTGTATACTAGGAGAATTTATGCAAGTACACGGATGGGCCAAAAAAAGATGAAAAAAAGAATAAGAATATAAAATAATTAAATATATATATATGAGGAGAATTTAATGCAAGATGTGCAAGATAATTGTCTTCAGGAATGGTAAGAATAACATTTACTGAGCACTAAGAGTCCACACTATGGTCTGTGTTTCATTAACAAATGTTGAGACTTCCATAGTCACATTACTGCATTCACAGTCACTGCTAAAAGACGAAACAGTCACAGAAAATTTAAAAAACTATCAAACAATTTTATTTTTTTTTTTTGAAACGGGGTCTCCATATGTTACCCAGACCAGATTGGAACTCCCCTGGGCTCCCGTGATCCTCCGGCGCCAGCCTCCAAAGTAGCTGGAACTACAAGGGCATGCACCGTGCCGGAAAATGTAATTAATTTTAACAAATTACTGAATGCCTACGCTGTGCCAGTCACTGTGGCTAGGCTCTGGGGTAGCGTATGAAACTGAACTAAATGGTTCCCAACGTCGAACCTAGTTAGGAAGACTTATCCACTCCTCTTGGGGCTCCCACAGCACTCGCATCTTTAAAACAGTACACTGTAATCAAAATGTTTAAAATGCCTGTCTCTCACACCAAACGCAGTGCCCTGTTAGCTCCTGACGGGCAGGGATCCCGGTCTTATCGCCTTTTATAGCTGCAAGACCTGACTCCATAAAGAGCTGAATGTTTGGTGGTAAATAGACTGATAACCTTGCACTACATGAGAACTAATTCTGGGAATCATCAAAACCCGGCAACGTCTGGGAGGCCGAAGCGGGAGGATCGCTCAAGGTCGGGAGTTCGAGACCAGCCTGAGCAACAGCGAGACCCCATCTCTACTAAAAACAGAAATTCTCTGGACAACTAAAAATATATGTAGAAAAAATTAGCCGGGCATGGTGGCGCATGCCTGTAGTCCCAGCTACTCGGGAGGCTGAGGCAGGAGGCTCGCTTGAGCCCAGGAGTTCGAGGTTGCTGTGAGATAGGCTGACGCCACGGCACTCTTGCCCAGGCAACACAGTGAGACTCTTGTCTCAAAAACCAAAACAAAACAAAAACCCGGAAACAGGCTTCCGCCAAGTGAGGAAAAACAAAACACAACCCCAGCGTCCCCACCCCTCCCCCCGCCTCAGGCGTCCGAAACTCCCCTCCCCTCAGCCTGCCTCAGCTCTTCCCCTTCCCCTCCCCCAGCCCTCTCTCACCTAATCTCCAAACGATTGAACAGCCCAATGCGCTCCAGCTGTTCCAATTCCGGGAGTCGATCTTCTAGGCGTTCGTGAATTATCTCCGCCATGAGGTCCGAACTCTACCACGCCGCGAGCAGCGCCTCAACACCGAACCGTCGCAGCAAGACGCCCACCGCCTCGTGCAGACACCCAGCCCGAGCGCTCGCACGCACTGACGTAACAGGCTACCGAAGGCCCGCCTTTTCCGCTTCCGCCGCCTTCCTAGTTAGAGATGACCCTCTGGCTTTTGCGACCGCTGTCGCCTCCCTGTGGCTAACTGTGGGATTGCAGCGAGAACCGCTCCCGGTCTCGGGGCAGTGGGACTCCAGCGGACCGGAGTGAGGGGGCGGAGCTAGGCTAGGGGCGGGACTAAACGCGCGCGCGGCGAGTTGGACCCGGATCAGAAAAGGAGCCCCTAGAGAGGTTATAGCTGAAAACGGCGTGAATTGCATTTTCTTCAGGAAGATGTGTATTTTTATTGTGGTCTCATCCCACGTCCTCACGTTCCAACACCAAGAACCAAAAAAAAAAAAAAAATGGGGAAGGATATTGTATAATTAAACACTTCAAAAAGTCAGTCACGAAAATTGTAGGGCGTACCCAAAACGCTTAAGTCTTAACTTTCTGCTACATTTAGTAAACCAGCGTGATGGACCTGGATTTTCACGTGACGATCCTGATTGGCTAATTAATTTTAAAGTAGGAAGAAATATTTTATTATTTAAATAATTACCCTGGGCCAGGCATGGTGGCTCACACCTGTAATCCTAGCACTGTGGGAGGCAGAGGCAAGAGGATCCCTTGAGCCCAGGAGTTTGAGGTTGCTGTGAGCTAGGCCGACACCACGACACTCTACCCCAGGCAACAGAGTGAGACTCTGTCTCAAAAACAAATAAATAAATAACCTGGCATTGTAGACAAGATCTTTCAAAACACATGTACGTGGGTGGACATCAGACACTGTAATTTTTCTTGGACATTTTTTATTGAAATAAATCAATAATGTATAGACCTTCATTAAACTATTGCTGAAGCAACTTATTTCTAAGAGGACCATCAGGCAACGCACCTTGGAAACAATATTGCCGATGTAATTACTAAGCCTACAGTAATAACGACATGGCTCAGTTCTTTTTGAGTTCTGGAAGATGATAAAAAGCCAAAGCAGGAGTTCTTGCTAGACCTGTTTATTTCAACATTTCCATTAGCACCTTGATCCTCGGTGTGATTTATGAAAGGAGAATAGGCTTAGCAATTAACTATGTTCCACTCTGTGCCTTTCCTTTCTTTTTTTTCTTTACACATTTTACTCCACTGGTCTCAAAACTGAGACAAAGTTGGCTTGGGCTTTATCATGTTTTGATTCCCTCAGATGTAAGACATGAGGGAAGTGGAAGGAAATCATGAATGTAAAACAAACATGGAATTTCTTCGTAATAGTAAAATCTCTGGGGCCTATGTTAACAGTAAGAGTAGGGATGACACTACATAGTAAGCTCCATATGCACAGGGAATTGCCCCCCTCTTTTGTTCACTAGATACCCTGGGGCTTAGAACAGTGTCTAACTTGTAATAAGCAATAAATAAATGCCTGACAGGCCGGGAACGGTGGCTCACACCTGTAATCCTAGCACTCTGGGAGCCTGAGGCAGAAGGATCCCTTGAGCCCAGAAGTTTGAGGCTACTGTGAGCTAGGCTGACGCCAAGGCACTCTACTCAGGGACAACAAAGTTGAGACTCTGTCTCAAAAATAAATAAATAAATAAATGTGTGACGATAAGAAAAGGTACTTGCTAAATTTCTTTAAGTACAAGAAAGTCAGCAAGCTCTAACAGATTGTAACCTTTCATTGTAAGGCAAATTTGATAGAGACCTTGACAATTTAACTACAATTTTTAAAGCAACTACAATTTACAAAGACTCTCTTGCCTTATTTTGAAATTTAGCTTTTATGTTTATCTTGCTCTAAAAATTATTAAAATGAAAATGGCAAAGCCTTCTTTTCACTTCTGCATCTCATGATAATAGCTGTCACTTATGTAGGGCTTACTATGTGCCCAGCTACTATGTGCATTGTTCTGAATCCTTTATGTACTAACTCACCTAATAGTATCATAAATATTTTGAAATATCAACCCAAGAAGGAGCTCCCGAAGAAGTAAAAAGCTCCTACTAGAGAGAAAGCCCAAGACTACGTTTACATAATAATGCTCACTACATCTCAGAATCCTTAGGGGAACCCACCTTTCTAGTGAAGAAACCCTAGGAGCAGGGAAAAAGCACTCTTGAATCTGGAATTCTATGGGGCCCCTTGAAAAGCCTGACTTCTTTTAGTCTTGTATTTTTTTGTTTTGTTTTGTTTTTTTGAGACAGAGTCTCACTTTGTTGCCCAGGCTAGAGTGAGTGCCGTGGCATCAGCCTGGCTCACAGCAACCTCAATCTCCGGGGCTCAGCAATCCTACTGCCTCAGCCTCCCGAGTAGCTGGGACTACAGGCATGCGCCACCATGCCCGGCTAATTTTTTGTATATATATTTTTAGTTTTAGTTCAATTAATTTATTTCTATTTTTGGTAGAGACTGGGTCTCGCTCAGGCTGGTTTCGAACTCCTGACCTTGAGCAATCCGCCCGCCTCAGCCTCCCAAAGTGCTAGGATTACAGGCGTGAGCCACCACGCCCGGCCTAGTCTTGTATTTTATCTTTAAAATTCATCATAGATGTCAGATTAGTAAGGAGGTACTGACTGGGAGGTAGCACAAAGGAGATTTCTGGATAACGGAAATCTACTTGATTGTGTGGTCATCACATGGATGTATACATCTGTAAACATCCATCCACTGAGGTACACACTCAAGATTTGTATACTTTGTGAAAGTTATACTTTAATTAAAAAGAAAAAATTAATTACCAGTCTCTCTCTTTGAGGATGTCATTCTCTTTAAGAGCTTCAGTTATTATTTTTATGTGTGTGGTAGGGTCAGAAATATTGAAACACAAATGATCCAATCTTCTCCCTTTCCAAAAGAGTTAATGTGAATTTTGCATTCTAGCTCATAATATACTAGCATTTGATTTTAATATAAATGATTGTGATTTTTTTCCAGATTGTCAAGTAAGATTGATCCCAGAAAGATGTACCCTGTGCCAGGCATGTGCCTGTAATCCTAGCACTCTGGAGGCCGAGGCATGAGGATTACTGGAGCTCAGAAGTTCTGAGACTAGCCTGAGCAAAAGCGAGACCCCCGTCTCTACTAAAAATAGAAAATTTAGCCAGGTGTCATGGCATACAACTACAGTCCCAGCTACTCAGGAGGCCAAGGCAGGAGCATTACTTGAGCCCAGGAGTTTGAGGTTGCAGTGAGATTGTGATGACGCCACGGCACTCTAACCAGAGCAACAGAGTGAGATTCTGTCAAAAAAAAAAAAAAAAGAAGGAAAGAAGAAAAAAAAAAAAAAAAAAAAAAAAAAAAGAGAGAATCTTAATGCTACAAATCATTATAAGATTTACATAATATTAAAAAAAAATAATAGCAATACTCTGAGATTATAACCACAGATAAAGTTAGCAAAGACTAGTACAGTTGAGCATCCCTTATCCAAAATACTTGGGACCAGAAGTGTTTGAGATTTCAGATATTTGGGGATTGTTAATTTTTATTTATTTATTTTTTATTATTACCTCATATTATGGGGGTAAAAATATTGTTAGGGTTACATATCTTGCCCCTGCTCCTCCCCCACCCTGCTTTGCCAGAGGTTCAAGGGTGTCCAGCCTCCAGGTGGAGCGCACCCCACCCACCATGTAAGTACACACCCTTCCCCCTGCCCCCTTCCATCTGCCCACCTCCCGATAACAGTTTCTTTTTTAGACATTTTGGTTACAATGTATATCTTTGCCTCTCCCTAAAAGGGGATAGAGGTAATCCCTTCCCCCACACAATGCTCGCCACATCCTTAAGATGTGGGTCTCCCCCCAAATCCCTGTTGAACACTACCGTCTTTTGAGCACCATAGTTTTAGTCAGCCAGTACCAATTTGATGGTGAGTAGATGTGTAGCTCGCTTTCCAAGATATTTGGGGATTTTGGAATATTTGCATTACACTTTACAGTTGAGCATCCCAAATCCAAAAATCCCAAATGATGCAATGAACATTTCCTTTGAGTGTCACATCAGCACTCGAAAAGTTTCAGATTTTGGATTTTTGGATTTGGGATGCTCAACCTGTAGTGGTAGGTGGGGAGAATGTCTTGAAATAAAAAGAGCTAACACTCTCATAATAACATAGAGTGTCAAAAGTCGGGGGTATTCTCGATTTTTCAATTTAGAAAAATGTCATTTAAAAATAGTATGGAGGAACTTTAAATCCAGCAGAGGCACTGGGCCTCCCATTTTAAGTGGCATCAGTGCAAACCTGTCATGAGGTGGGGGATGGACCCCATGGCTTCCCAAGTCACAATCCTGCGGCTCCTCCAAATACCCAGAGCCAGGAAAGCAGATCAGCACCCCTCCTGGAGGACAGATGAGACCCACCAGTCCCCTCCCCACTTGTCCACTCATCCCTGCCTCCTTGTTGTTTAAACTTAACAATAACAATCAGTGGCCTCTTACTCTAGTACCACACTTTTTCTTTTTTTTTTTTTTCTTCAAATTTTTTTTTTTTTGACAGAATCTCACTCTGTTGCTCTGGTTAGAGTGCCATGGCGTCATCACAATCTCACTGCAACCCAAACTCCTGGGCTCAAGTAATGCTCCTGCCTTTGCCTCCTGAGTAGCTGGACTGTAGTTGTATGCCATGACACCTGGCTAAATTTTCTATTTTTGTAGAGACGGGGCTCTCGCTTTTGCTCAGGCTAGTCTCAGGAACTCTGAGCTCCAGTAATCCTCAA